GCCGAGGCTCGGACTATCGGGCGCAGGCGACCTCGCTGCCCCTCTCTCGGACTACCGGGCGCAGGCCGACAGAAACGAAAAAAACGAAAAAAAAAAAAACGAAAAAAAATAAATAAATAAAAAATGGGTTCAGAGAGAGAGAGAGAGAGAGGCGGCTACCTCGCTGCCCCTCTCTCTCTCTCACACACACACACACTCACACAAAAACAAGTATGGCAGTGTATATTCCCATGCTATAGCGCTAGATTCATTCGATTTTGCTCATGCTATGGAGGGCGCAGTACCATGAGGCTAGCCGCGATGAGAGAGAGAGAGAGAGAGAGAGGCGGCGACCTGCACGGAGGGTCGCGGCGAATTCGCCGCACCTCTCTCTCTCCATCTCTCACACACACACACACACACAAACACACACACACACTCACACAAAAACAAGTATGGCAGTGTATATTCCCACGCTATAGCGCCATATTCATTCGATTTTGCTCATCCTATCGAGGGCGCAGTACCATGAGGCCAGCCGCGACGAGAGAGAGAGAGAGAGAGAGAGAGAGAGAGAGAGAGAGAGTCACACAGACACACACACACACACACACACACACTCACACAAAAACAAGTATGGCAGTGTATATTCCCATGCTATAGCGCCAGATTCATTCGATTTTGCTCATCCTATTGAGGGCGTTTTTGTTCAAAAGCTATGCAGATTTCTTTACTTTCTTGATTCATTTCGTTATTTAATTTCAAAATTCGATTTCATTTCAGAAATTCGTGAAAGAAATTTTGGAATTTACTACAAAGAATTCTTCCAATGTTGAATTTCTGGCTATTTTCTACCTCTTGTAAAATTTCAAAATTCTTTCGTTGTTTTTGAAACTCCTTCGAAATTCTTTTGAAATTCTTTTAATTTTTTTTTGAAATTCATCTTAATCTTGTAACAAGTCAATAAATTTTAGTCATTTGATCTATAATTTTGGAATTTCTCTCGACTTACTTTATGCGGCTATCACTAATTCTTTATGAAATTTCATCGTACATTCTTAATTTAAGAATTAGTTTTCTACTTTTATTTCAAATTGTCTTTGAAATTCTTTTAATTTCGAAAATATGTTGAGGAATTTTCCATTCTACTTCAAAAATTTTCCTCTCAACTCATCTCTATCTCTTCTATCATCCCCCTGAACTTTTGGTAATTCTTACGAATATTTTTCAAATTTGTTGAATTTTGCTTCAATTTCCTTAAAATTCGGAATTTATGCCCAAACAATTTCGGAATTTTATTTTGACCTCGTGATTGTGTTATACATACCTTCTTCCATACCCCACGTCATCCTTTGGAAATTTCCTCAATTCCCCCACCCAGATTGGAAATTTTACTTTTCCTCCCTCAATCCGATTTTTAATTTTCTTGATTTAATCTCAGAAGTTCGTTAGACCTCATTTCTACTCGCCTCCCTCTTGCAGTCCCTTACTCCCCTTTCTGCCTGTCAGCCTGGCTCCCCGTGACATCCAATAGCGCGCACTCCAAAATCACGCTCGAGACGCTCGTGCCGCCAATCGACTCGCTCGCTTTAACGCACCGATCCGATCGTTCCTCTCGTCACAGTGCTCCCTCGACATCATCTTCATCTTCTTCATCTGTTGATTCCATGCAAAGTGCAGATTCGGTGAGCCCCTCCCGCTCCATCAGTGAATGGCTTGCGCTACTAGCTCGCGATACCATGGCCGATTCGGATCACATTTCCACCCCTATGGCCACCAGTTCGGGCCCAACCGCCGAATCGGATCGCCTAGTGACTCTCCTCGAGAACATGCAGGCTAGATTCGAGGCCAGATTAGAGGTCAAATTCACGACCCCCCATATCGACTTTTCATCCTTGTCGTCCCGCGTGTTACAGTTGGAGCCCTGTACCAGTGCACCTCCCTCCCCACCCCCCTCATCTGCATCTATGCCAGCTTCCTCTCCTTCTTCGGCTGGCGTCATCTACACGCTTGTCTCTTCTACGGGTTGCATGTCCTCACCCCTGTCCCAACCTTCCTCTGCAGCCATCTCTTCGTCCCAGGTTCCCGTCCCTGCAACCCCCCCCCTCAAGACCCATGGCATCTTGTCCCGCCACCTCCTTGACGTTAGTTTCCCCAACACCTCCCTCATCACCCCCCGCTCCTTCCCCCTCCCCCCCCCCACCCCCCTTTACACCCAGGACACGGAATGCCAAGCGCCAACGCCAGCTCACCCTGGCCCATGATCACATCCGTCAGCTCCAAGGAGGTCAACCCATGCCTCCCCATCTCGCGGCACAACCTGTCGCCCCTTTCATCTATCAACAACATCAGACACAGGCCGCTACGATGCATTTCACGCTCCCACCACCGGCCACCACAATGTGTTTGGGACCTTTGCCCCAGCTTCCCGCTCTTCTAGTAATCTTGATGGTACCACTACTTCTGTCCTCTTGTCACAATCGGATCTCCCTCTCCCTATCCATTATCGGCCCCCGACGTATGTTCCACAGTTTCGACGGGATCACCTCCCACAGTTTGACGGCAGGGCCTCCGAGCTCCAAGGATGGATCACTACTGCTGAGGAGCAGCTTCGCTACCATGGTGTCGCCATGGAACTGTGGCCCGTCGAGATGTCCTCTCGCTTTACAGTTCGTGCAGCCTCCACTTGGCGCGACTTCCTCGCCCTTCGCTCACAGCGCGACGTGCATGAGGGCATGTCTTATCCCGAGTTTCGCGACTTCCTTACTTTTCTTGCCCTGCGCCAACCCGCGATCCGATTACTCGTGCGACTGAGATCAGATGGCTTGGTGGCGACAAGCCTTAGAGTCATACATCACGACATTCCACCGTGTACGCGCTCAGATTTCTGCCACAGCCGTACCAGAGGACACCATGATCCAGCGATTTCGCGCAGGCCTACCCCAACCATTCCAGTTGCAGATGTTGGCATACTCGATTTCCACCTTACCAGAGGCTTTCAACATTGCTAGGTTCATTCATCTCACTTATGCTCCACTCGTCAGCCCCTCGCCTCAGTTGCCCATTCCGCTACTACTGCAGCACCTCGCCCCTCCCAGCCTCGACAGTCCTCCACATGCCGTCGTGGCCCGCGTAGAGGTTCTGGACGATTCCTCTCTCGTCGCTTGCATGCGCTGCTTCGTGATCCGTCGAGCATTGATGATGGCACTGCCTCAGATCATTCTGCAAGTGACCCAGATCAGGGACCCGACCCTCAGTCCCCCGCGGAGGACGACGCCTCTTCCCATGACGACCATCTTGTCCGTGCCCTTTCCACCCTCCTCCGACGTCAGCCCTCATCCTCTAGGACTCGCTCTACGGTCACTCAACTACCCCTCCCAGCGGGCTTTGTGTTCCCCCCTAGCCGCTTGACCATCGTTGAGAGTGAGGACCTTCACACGAGGCATTTGCACCCGCTGCCGCCTCGTCGGCCATACCTCCTCTACCTGCCCGTACGCAGACGCCCTCCAGAGTCACTTCGCACAACAGGCTCGCCCACAGGCTGTTCCCCCCGTCTCGACCTCCAGCGCAGCACCCACCTAGCTGCGATGTCCCATTCCCCTCACTCTCCTGTAGCTGGCATACCCGTCATAACTCTACCTTTGCACCGCTTGCTACTCTTCCCAATGACTTTGGTCCAACCTTATCTTTGGGTGACCCTATCGACACTAGTATGCCTTCTCCTTCCTTGCCTAACGTCCCTCGTGACCCCCCCCCTCCACGTCCTCCTACCAGGCGTGCTCTTCGTACGGCCCGCTGCAGTGCTTCCCTTATTGCAGCCGAGGATATCATTGACTTCCTGGACCTTGAGTGTGTTAAGGTCCACGAGGAACGTCTCCGCCTTAAAGAGCGCA